TAACAACATGTTAGCTAACAAGACATGTTCCAAAATATACAACTATGCCCGGAATGCAATAAAATTAACGACGCATGTTGCATCAGCGAGATGAAAACTTTACACGTACAGTACACTGTGAATGTGGCTGTTTACAAAAAAGAAAACCATTCGTGCTAAATAAGTAAACCCAACTCAAGACATGTGGGCCTGTCATCTGCGCAGAATAATAGTGGTGCCTTGTGTTTGTTTTACAAGTATGTCGTACATGACGAGGAACAGAAGGTTTTAAAGAGACAAATGCATCTATGGTGACTTACGTATAACAGACTGTGAGTAAAAATGTCACATGTTCGACCTTCCTTCAACAGTTGAGGATCTCTCTATCATTGCGTATCCTGAATAAGGTTTTGGCTACCATTGGTATGGTTTGTGTAATGAAAGCAGTCATATTGTGAACTCTAAGGAAAGGGGAGGCGTTCAGAATATACGTTTTCAGACAAATATGTTGTGAAGATCATGAATTCACCTTTGTATCACACATTAATTACAATAGACCATTTTCCGTTCACTGCGAGAATCACGCGTTATGCGTGAAATCGAACGTAAAAACCGGACAAACAAAGGTCATAGCGTCGTAGTCGCGTCAAACATCGCGTGGGATTCGACAAACGCGAAAGTATTTCGGGGACATTTCCATGCTTAATAATGTGCTATCCACATTTGATTATAGGCAATTTCGATTAAGTAAGGGTATTCGGAAGCAATATTCCTCTGTCGAAGATCGGCCGGTCAATGTAAGCTACGAAATAAAGAAATTCTAGTTCAAAATCAAATCGTTCGATTTTTGCGGCAGACGTTCGACGCGCGTCTTTCATGCATCTCGCGAGATCTCGCAATTGTACGGAAAATCACCTATTGCCGAAACGTGGAAAAAACAACACCGACGTGAAGAGCTAGAATATGTCATACGGAATGAGTATTTAACGAAGCCAGCGGGAGAGGATGTGTCGGTCCACGGCACAGCGCGTTCTTGAAAAAGGCGTCAATAGTCGTGAGTTTTGCTAGACGCTAATTTTATAATCCATTTAGCTTGAAATATAATCCCACTGATAGCCGACTTTTTTGGGCAGCTCGCCAAAGTGTAATGATTTGCTGGCCATGAAAATGGGCAGAGATCGGATTCAGACGCCGACTGGATGGCAAAACACTCAATCCGGACCGACATCATGGTACTTGATATTTCACAGAACTCTCACTGAGTTATATTTATAGCCGTAACAAAAACACTCCAACCCACTTTATTACTGTCGAGTCTTTTGGAAAGTAATTTGTTGTTTTGTTTTTCTATACGAACAGTGGGCTATCTAAAGCCTTTGTGCGCGTTCAAGTTTAACGGCTTTCGAGTGAAGTGTAACACTCGAAAAGATCATGCTACTACACACCAACATGTATGTAGAGTTTATGTTGACAAGCCGGGTGTGTTTTTAAATCACATTATTTTAAACAAGCATGAATATATACAAATACAAATTTGGAAAAGGCGGTTACTTAAACATGAAGTATTCATGTGGCTTTTTGGAAACAATACGGTGTGGATGGGGGTCCTATTTGAAAGATTATTACTTTCGATGGACACTATTAAATGAGCCATGGGTATCGAGAAATCAATTCCTAGGTTGCTTAATGTATTAAGTGGACGTTTAGCGTAACGTTTGCTTTTCTTGTTTTGCCTAAATCGACAGCAATCTAATTGCATTATATGGAGTGTAGTTCTCACCTTTTCTTGTGAAATATCCACGCCAGGACCACTTTGACAAAGGCAGATAATTGCTTCTTCTTTTCTTCGTTGGCTCCAAGCTAGTGACGCTGTTTAAAACGTTGTCGCGGACTGTCTGCAGCACTTCCTCGAGACAAACAGCACTAAGTTACTGGTACTGGGGATCACTGACGGTCCTATTTCTATATTCCCGGTTAAAAGTTGCAATCTCGATGGCAAATGTACATTTGACCGTGAAAAAATGGCGTCTATAAATACCCTACAAAGTCGTGTGTGGGACCCTTTTTAGCAATTTAATGTCGCTTTTGTAAAACGAGGGCGCAGTCCATTGTTCAATAGCAATGTAAGGCATGAAAACAACGCCAATTCATTCTGCTTCATTTACATACACTTTAAGTACCCGAGACCCGCCTCGTCGCAGACGACGCCACTGTCTGGACGATTCCATTTATTTGATAAATTGCTAAGGTTAGAAACTGATGGGGATTAGACGCATTTTCAATCGTGTCAAAATACGCTTGCCCTGAAAGAAAATGTGTAACCCCACCTTACCCCAACTATTTAGTTCCTGTGAATTGAATGTTTGAATTTAAAACACCATCACGTGTATTTATGCGCACATTCACAGAAAAATGAGTAAAACGAAAAGGACTGCTTAGTAATTGCAAATATTTATCCCCTCGGATAGACTTGCACACAGTCTCTTTTTTTGGCGTTTTTTTTCAATCAAATAAAATACGATGTGAACATATAGATGGCGAAAGCCGAGATACCGTGAAACAAAAATATTTGTTTCCGACGTTCCTGTGAAAAATATTCCGAGGTTTCCGGAAAGTCCGATCCACTCTGCAAGGTTCAGGCGAATATGGAATAAAGGGAAATATGACGAATCTACCTGACGTCACAGTGCACAATGTGACGAATCTACCCGACGTCACAGTGCACAATATGGCGAATCTACCTGACGTCACAGTGCACAATGTGACGAATCTACCCGACGTCACAGTGCACAATGTGACGAATCTACCCGACGTCACAGTGCACAATATGGCGAATCTACTTGACGTCACAGTGCACAATATGACGAATCTACCTGACGTCACAGTGCACAATATGACGAATCTACCTGACGTCACAGTGAACAATATGACGAATCTACCTGACGTCGCAGTGCACAATATGACGAATCTACCTGACGTCCCAGTGCACAATATGATGAATATACCTGACGTCACAGTGAAAAATATGACGAATCTACCTGACGTCACAGTGCACCGTATGACGAATCTACCTGACGTCACAGTGCACAATTTGACGAATCTACCTGATGTCACAGTGCACAATATGACGAATCTACCTGACGTCACAGTGCACAATATGACAAATCTACCTGACGTCACAGTGCACACAGAAAATACAGTATTTATACAGTAAAATCATATTTAATTAAATTTATTGTTCATGATGAGTTGTTGAAGACACTACATAGTTTGTAATTTTATTCAGCTTCTTTCAGTCATAATTCAAGACAAATAAAAAGCAAAAATGCAGAGAATTTTGCAAATTATCTTGTTTTTGTAATATTCTTTTGTAATCGTAATTATGAAAATTAGTCATGGGTGTATGGAGAATACATTTTGTTATGAATTTTTCTTAAAATAAAATTCTGAATTATTTTGTCAAAACCAGACTTTTCGTGTTTTTTTCGAAACGAAAGAAATTCACAATGTGGAAAACGGAATGTCTATCTCGTAGTGTTATAGTTTCCCTGGAGCAAGCATCCATGGCAATGGTTGCGACAGGGCGATGTAATAAAACAAACCAGGAAAACGAAGTTTCATCCCGGATTTTACCGACTGTGATGGTGCAGCCAAACACGTGTTAGTGAAGGTTAGGGACGACACGATGAAGGGGAAATAACATGGTGCAACAATGGACTTATTCTCGGTATTAAAAGCAGGAGAATAAGACAACTATCACAACATGTTATTTCTAAAGAATGTAACATTGTCAAGTTTTTTGCGTGTTCGCTACATCAATATTCGTTGCCAAGATATTGCCAGCCATATTGGATTTGTGTCCACAAATCCCTATACAAAAAAAAACATTCATAATTTCGTCATATCAATAGAATAGTACATGTTTCCCATACTGTGACGTCATTTATTTACATTTTTGCAAACCAGATTGCCGATCAGCACTAGCTATATGCTGTGACAGCGAACAACGACCGGTTCTTGCCCACCAATCACTACACCGAATTTAAAAGAAACTTCAAGTTGCCATTTTCACAAGAAGGCAGTCTACCTCGATATTGATATGCCACACATGCCTTCAATGAGGGACTTTGAAAGAAATCTACAACGAAAGTCGCATGTTTGAAATCAGAGTCCAATAATACGATAGAACAGGCGCCACCAAAATACGCGAAGTGCGTTTTTCTCGAAGTTTATTTATTCAAGTTCGAGCGTGTCCTCTACGCCGATTCAGAATAAATAAACTTGCCACAAGAGGGCGATCGACCCGTAACGCCGATAGCGTAACGTCGACACTCTACAGTCCATCATTATCACATTGTTTTTCCTCAAAAGTGTTTTAGTTCAGATCGACGGAGTTGAAAATGACTTGGTGCAACAGTGGACTTATTCTCGGTTTTTTCAGCAGGAGAATAAGACAACTATCACAAAACGTCATTTCCATTTGAGATGGTATGAAGTTTTGGGACGGCAAGCTTGTGATCGACTATTAATAATGATAACGTACTCCATACCATTATTTACATGCGTTGCTAGTCAAACTTTTATGAAAAATGCAACGAATGTTTTTATTCTTTGGAAAAACAAAACAACTAAACTAACATGGTGCGCACTAGATTTGTTTTGTTTAAGAAACGCCCAGAGTTTCTGAACACCAACAATTATGCCATGTAGTTCGATATGAATTGTGATATAATCACTAAAGTGAGTGAATCTTATGACGTATCAATGAATATTACTAAACAGTAAACGTTTATCTTACAGAGATAGTTCATTTTCAATAGGAGTACAAATAGTGGCGTAATTTTATGCCTTAATCAACAAATTGTTTACGAGGATAAGTTTTTTTTAGGACGATATTGCTTGTTTTTAATTTGATTTTTTTTTCTATGCAGGTTTAAAATCTACAATTTTCGCCACAGAATTTCTAATGGTGAATACTTTACTGCGTTGTAAAGGTAAAATGCAGTAAATGAATAAATAAATTGTCATGACGGCGAGGCAGAATAGATGATGACAAAGTTAGTGACGACACGATGTAAGTGGAAATAACATGGTGCAACAATGGACTTATTCTCGGTATTAAAAGCAGGAGAATAAGACAACTATCACAACACGTTATTTCTAAAATATTATTCCGACTCCTGTTAGTTTTGGAGTGTAACATTGCATGATAGGTGCTTTGCATGTTCGCTATATCGAAAGTTTTTGCTTAGATATTGGCGGCCATATTGAAATCTTGTCAAAAATTGCCTATTCATATAAACATTTATATTGTTGCGATATTGCGTCATATCAATGGAATAGTACATAGTGACGTCATTTGTTTACATGTTGGTCGCTCACTGATCACTGGCTCACAATATGCTGTGACAACGAACAACGCCATTATTTTATCTTCGGGTGCGAACGACTGGTTCTTGTCCACCAATCACTACACCGAATTTGAAAAAACTTGCCATTTTCATAAAGAGGGCGGTCGACCTGTGATTTTGATATGCTCGTATATCAATTACTAGTACTTGATGTGCAGTTTTCTTGTTCTTGTTATAAATAACATATATAAATAAATAACATACTGTATAACATCTCCAATTTCCGCTACAGAGTTTCTAATGGTGAACTCTTTACTACGTTGTAATGGTAAAATGCAGTAAATGAATAAATAAATTGTCATGACGTTGAGGCAGAATAGATGATGACAAAGTTAGTGACGACACGATGAAGTGGCAATAACATGGTGCAACAATGGACTTATTCTCGGTATTAAAAGCAGGAGAATAAGACAACTATCACAACACGTTATTTCTAAAATATTATTCCGACTCCTGTTAGTTTTGGAGTGTAACATTATATGCTAGATGCTTTTCGTGTTCGCTATATCGACAGTCGTTGCCTAGATATTGGCGGCCATATTGAAATCTTGTCAAAAATTCCCTATTCATATAAACATTTATATTGTTGCGATATTGCGTCATATCAATGGAATAGTACATAGTGACGTCATTTGTTTACATGTTGGTCGCTCACTGATCACTGGCTCACAATATGCTCTGACAACGAACAACGTCATTATTCTATCTACGGATGCGAACGACTGGTTCTTGTCACTCAATCACTACACCGAATTGAAAAGAAACTTGCCATTTGCACAAGAAGGTGGTTGACCTTTGACATTGATATGCCACAAATCTCCCAGCGAGAGATTATGGTAGAAATCTACGACGAAAATCGCATGTTTGAAATCATAGTTCTATAATACCACAAAATACATTTCCTAGTCGCCACCAAAATACCGCGAAGTGCGCTTCCTAGAAGTTTATTTATTCTAGTGTGCCCTCTACGCCAGATTCAGAATAAATAATCTTACCACAAGAGAGCGACCGACCGTGAACTTCGATAATATAACGCCGAAACTTTACAATCAATCATTATCACATTGTTTGTTTTTCCTCGTAAGTGTTTTAGTTCAGATGGACGAAGTTGAAAACCACTTGGTGCAACAATGGACTTATTCTCGGTATTAAAAGCAGGAGAATAAGACAACTATCACAACATGTTATTTCTAAAATATTATTCAGAATGTAACATTGTAAAGTACTTTTCGTGTTCGCTATATCGACATTCGTTGCCAAGATATTGGCGGCCATATTGTATTTTGTCAACAAATCCCTATACATATAAACATTCATAATTGCGTCATATCAATAGAATACTAGTAGTGCATCACGTGTGATGTACTCGCCATGACTGCTGAGCATGGAATGAGCCGACTTCCTGTTTTTAACACATTGAGGTCGCAATGCACACTGAGTAGGCTACGTGAACCACAGGCGCCTGTGACGTGAACGACGCGGCAGTGCATGTTTCCCATACTGTGACGGTGATTTATTTACATTTTTGCAAACAAGATCTCTGATCAGCACTAGCTATTTTCTGTGACAGCGAACAACGCCATTATTTTATCTTCGGGCGACGACCGGTTCTTGCCGACCAATCACTACACCGAATTTAAAAGAAACTTGCCATTTTCACAATATTGTCTACCTCAGGCTCGATATTGATATGCCTCACATCCCTTCAGTGAGGGACTTTGGAGGAAATCTACGACGAAAGTCGCAAGTTTGAAACCAGAGTCCAATGATACGAGATAAAACTTTTCTCAGGCGCCACCAAAATACCGCGAAGTGCGTTTTCCTCGAAGTTTATTTATTCGAGCGTGCGCTTTACGACGATTCAGAATAAATAAACTTGCCACAAGAGGGCGATCGACCCACAACACCGTTAACGTAACGCCGAAACTTTACAGTCCTTCATTATCACATTGTTTTCCCTCATAAGTATTTTAGTTCAGATGGACGGAGTTGTAAACGACTTGGTGCAACAGTGGACTTATTCTCGGTTTTCACAGCAGGAGAATAAGACAACTATCACATAACGTCATTTTCATTTGAGAAGATATGAAGTAATTGGTCGGGAGGTTTCTCTTTTGATTGACTCTTAACAGTGATTTCGTACTCCATACCATTATTTACATGCGTTCCTAATCAAACTTTGATGAACAATGCACTGAGTATTTTTATTCTTTGAGAAAAAAAACATTTAAACAAACATGGTTTGCACTAGATTTGTTTTTTTTTAAAGAAACGCCCAGAGTTTCTGAACACCAACAATTATGCCATGTACTTCGATATGAATTGTGATATAATCACTAAAGTGAGTGAATCTTATGACGTATCTATGAATATTACTAAACAGTAAACGTTTATCTTACAGAGATAGTTCATTTGCAATAGGAGTACAAATAGTGGCGTAATTTTATGCCACAAATAAAAAAAAATATTTACGAGAGTAAGTGTTATCTAAAATCTGCCAAATAATTATATTATTATTTCATGGTTTCAGACTAAATCACCTCTTCGTATATCAATTACTTACTGGAGTTGAAAACGACTTGGTGCAACAGTGGACTTATTCTCGGTTTTCACAGCAGGAGAATAAGACAACTATCACATAACGTCATTTTCAGTTGAGAAGATATGAAGTATTGGTTCGGCGAGGTTTCTCTTTTGATTGACTCTAAACAATGATTTCGTACTCCATACCATTATTTGCATGCGTAAACTTTATATAACAAATTAACAACAAACATAAATTGTTTTAAAATTACCTCGAATTTCTGATCACTAGCAATAATTACTATATATCATGTATTTCGATAGCAATTGTGACATAATCACTGTAATGGCTTCTGAGTCGTATCGTCTCACGTATCAGTGAGTATTACTTAAAGCGCGGTAGTCGTCGCGCTGCGCATGTGCGAGATATATGGGTCTCATATCAACAAAGATGGCGACTATGACTGTTGCGCAGATCAACGAGTACGAACTGAGACGTTTCCAAGCTTTAATTAGGCAATTTTCATGTGGTTGGAAGGTATCGAAGGAGTCACTGTCGGTAATCAGTGCAAGTCAAACATTATACTTGTGATTTCCATTTGAAGAACGCATTGGATTATGGGAGAATCAATGTTTATCAACACAAATGTCGCACATGCGCAGTAAACGTCCATCTTACTGAAAAAGTTCATTTGGAATAGTACTACAAATAGCGGTGTAATTGTACGCAACAAAAAATTGTTTACGAAAGTAATTGCTGGCTAAAATCTGCCAAATAAAAATGTATAATGCATGTTTTAACGTTTATGACTTCACCATATATTGAAACGATAAATTGAACAGATATGTAAATAATGTATTCAGTTTACTCAGTTTTGGACTAGATTTTTCAGGATTATATTAATGTTTTACCTATATATCTTTTTCTGTAACTTTATGTATTTTGTTTTCGATTTTTTTTCTGTGCAGGTTTAAAATCTCCAATCTACGCCAAAGAGTTTTAAATGCTATCTTGTCACGTGACTGAGGTCAAATGCGGTAACTTGATAATTATATTCCCAAATCAAAATAAACGAAACTCGTTATATGAAGACCCTGTTCATTTCACCTATGTCATTATATGCTAATTAATAGAAGAAGTAAACTGGGACAATTTCTCTCATATCCAGTACGTAATTTATGAGTCAAATCCGAATTAAAGAGTATATGTCATGTATGTCATACCTTCATTATTGTGGATTCATACAACCAGGAATCAGAAAATAAAAAACAGAAATGGAGTCACAAAACAATTCTTCGAGATACACGAGTCTAAATGTCAGTGGAAATGGTGAAAATTGGTATTCAAATTCTCTCGGTGACATGGGATGGAGCAATTGTATATTATTATTGGTATGAATCCTGATATTGTGAAAACATGTCAAATAATTGACATATAATTTAGTGAGTTTCCAGGGTGATAATAGTTGTTCATGATATGCGAAAGAGGTTATATCCCATAAGGCATTGCATATATGTGCAGTAACATGCTCAGTAGTTCAAAATTTGAATTTGGCTCAAACTACCTTAAACATACATTAAAATAACCACCACCAGCCTGCGCGCCCGGCGGAGGGCTGAAGATTGATCACTTACCTCGGTGAAGCGGTGTCATAACAGCGGCGATATTAACCAACGCGGAGTTCGTTACCACTATCAAGAGAGGCATAGAGAAGCAAGCGCGTCAGGATTGAATGTATTGCATTCGAGGACCGTTCATCGGTTTAAAAAGTTAGATCACATGGCGCCCATGTGTGAGCCGGAACCAGATTGCCACAATGGAATACTTTAAAATTGGCCTAATTTCTTGTAAAATGAGAGATTTCTAGTAATTATTCACTTGTTATTAAAGAGAAACACACCGGAACCACTGCGGTCAGTAGCAGCGTGAACGGAATCATCCGCAGGTTCGCTGAAAACCACACGTGTGATTTTTCATAGTAACGTAAGAAGGTCGTCTTTTGTCTCCTTGGTGTACGCTATGATGAGTGCGAATAATGCATTCAATTATAATTGTAATCAGCTCTTAGTATTGTATTGAATTGATAACTGTCCTGCACAACAGGTGATTTTAGCAATTATCTGTACCGCTGAAAACCGAGATGTTCATTTCTTCTATTGCCGTAACAGTGAATCCAACATGAAAAGTATCTCAATTCCAAATTATTTGAAATCAGATCCCTATCTCCGG